TTTTTTTGTTCAAATGGCCTAATGAAATCTCATGAGCCAAACGACATAAGAACAACACAACCATGACCTAAATAAACAAGGCCTGTTTAGTGGAAAAAGTGCTTGTAGGTTGAGAAGCTGAAAGATCCGTGGTTGCAGCAAAGGGAGGAAATAAAGCTTCTAAAAAGTGCACACTTTTCCCAGATGCGATGAATTCACAGCTTCAGAGAAATTATATTGAGCTATTGTCTTCTACTCTTCATAACATAACACCTATCAACTGCTTTTTGTATATAATGTTGGTGCTAAACTGTCATTTTTGGGACTAAGGCACATTTCATGACAAAAGCTAAGACTTATTTCCAATAAAAAATTGGGAATAAGTATATTTATGAATGAACAAGTTTGCTCGTAGTCCCATATCCGTGTTGTTTTGTCTAATGAAGCGGAAAGAAATAAAATATGTTTTCCTTCATATCTTAATTGTTAAAATATTACTCGCTTTGCCAATTGTTGTTTGGTGGAGTTTACACACAAAGCAAGAAGGAAAATGAGAAAATTTATGTAACTTTAAGCTACAGTATACAATATATGTAGTATAATGCAAATCTGAAATGTAATATTATGTACATCACATATGGGGTAAACAAATAATACTGTGACAACAATGCAAATCCGGTACTATTCTCCAATATTCCCCCTCGAACAAATAGTAGCTATTGAAGCTACTCTGAGTTTCGTCTTCAATTTTTCAAGAAAATTTTCTGATGAGGTGCACCTTTTGTCAATCCGTGCAAAAGAAGCTAAATATGCTGAGCCAAAGAATATTTTCCAAATAAGCAATTCATACTTTCTCACGTTCAGAACCCTAAAAAATACTGAAACTCAAGGAGATAGAGGCCAACCATGGATATCTATTCCAAGCTTTTGCAGTACATAACTCTCGTCATCGCAGCAATGGCTATATCATTAATGAACCAAAGAGCATTACAAGTTAAAACTGTTTTCTAACATACAAACTCAACGCACACCGACAACCTATCACCATTTAAACTTCATTTCTGCCGTTCATCACATATATTAATTTCGATTGAGCACAATTGTGTTGGGTTGTAAACGTATAAGCATCTCTTGCTCACATCGAAGTCACCAAGTATCAAGTGGGCTTTCTTCTCCATCATTAATTGGAATGATGACATAATTGACATCGCACCATCTAGTGTTGCAGTGCATGTAATCTCCGTTCACAGCTTACTGCGTGATGGTAAGCTGTGGAATATTAGGGTGCTTGATATATGTAGAAGATCAACTTTTATTATGGTTTTTGGGATTTCTTGATAGGTATTCTCGTTTCAGCGGATTTGGGTGTAATGGTGGAATTTGAGATCAAACACCAATTTAGGAATTGTGGCAGTAATTAACTTCTAGGAAGGACTTATTTGGGGGAGTGAAATTAGCTATCATTTAATTGCATGTTTGAATTGATTACCAATTCACATTTTTAATTTTACTGCGATAAAATAGTATTTATGGATAAAAAGCTGTTGCAATGTAATATTTGAATATAAATTAAATAAAGGTATCTAGTGTAATTTCCTAATTTAGAAATCTCTTCCTTGTACAATTATCTTTAAGTATGCTTGGCCGTGCTTAAAAGTAAGCCAATCTTGTTTTTTTCACCAAACATAATTTGTTAAGTTACTTTAAGCCCAATGAAGAACACAAAGTACAGAGCTATAATGTTTTCATCCCTCTACACTAAACCTATGTTGAAATGATCTTGATATCTTTTATTATTATTATTATTATTATTTTTTTTTTTTTTTTTTNAGTTTTTTAAAGAATAGGAAACTTACATCAATTCCTTTCAAGTTGAACATATTCTCTTTCTTGTTGAATTGGAACATTGTCTCTGCTAGCTGAGGTAATGATAAACAATAAGCATCTTCAAGGTTAAACTCTTCAAGTATTTCAGCAAATTAGTAAAAATTGAAAATTTCACACTAAAAAACATACAAGCATAGCTTTCTCTAGTGCTACAGAAGTCTCTATTCCTGTAATGTGGGAATTTGAGAAACCATTTTTGCAAGAACACCAAGTTGTCCCTGGCTGCGTTGTGAAATAAACACACAAATAAAGTCAGATTCTTTTCCCATGTCCAAAAAGAAAATGAGAATGGTAAATAGAACATGGCTCAAAAAGCAGAAGCTTACACGTTACTACTCCAGTAGTAATTCTTTGGTTTTAAATATGGGGTGAGAAGGCCATATAAAGAATTCGGCAAGAAGGAATATAGTGTTTTTTTTCCCTTCCGAAAATGGTTACTTACCATGTCTTTCTATAAAGTTAAAAATCAAAGAGTTGAAAATCCCAACTCACAATTGTATTTAGTATCATCACTGACAACGTTATCATTCTCAGCCACCAAAGTACACCTGCAGAGTCGTCAAAAGTGAAAGAACTGTAACACGACAGCTGAAGATCTAATAAATCATCAAATCTGATAAACCCCATTTCTTTTTCCCTTTAACACGAGCAGGTTAGAGAAAACGTGGGAGAATTTCTAAGCTTGCTGCATATGCCACACATGATCGATTATAAACAAAAACTTCACATATAATTAATTCATATGATCATATCATGATATTTTGCATCCTATATGTCAGACACACATCCAGCAAGACAAGTTGATTACACCCCGAGTTTGAATGCATCATTTTTTCCCTTTAATAGCAGTGAAATATGAGGTAAGTAAAAGAAGTTAAATTCTGCTGTATATCAGTTCACTCATAAAAAACACCAAAGAATGGTTGTTACATGTGTGTGTATCTTAGAATCTAAAATCAAAGACATATACTTTGTTCTCATTGTCTGAACTCATCCGCCTACGAAGTCATAAGTAATAAAGTATGTGGGAAAATACCTTTTTCTGTTTCATTAACTTCACTTGCTTTGCTTGCACGAAACTTTAATGGCTCTTCTTTTTGAGCTGTAAAAAAATTAAGGAGATGGATAAAATAAATGCATAATAAGCATCACCATTCTCAATAAGCAACACTGTCAATGAGCAGGCAATGAAGGTTGAAGTCAAATAAAACTTCAAATGACAGATGCCTTCCAAAAAAAGTGAATGAATATAGGAGATTTAAAGGTCTAAAAAAAAATGAATGCATAAAATAGAGATCAAATCATTATAAGCATCTTATTCTTAAACTAAAATTAACGAAAGGAGGTTCACTTACATAATTTCTTTTATATGCAGTGTAATACCTGTCATCTGAGATGCGCTTCTCGACTTTAGAAGAGGAGCTTAAAAGAGATTCTAACAAAACTTTCAACTTATCAACCTGTTTATGTTAAAAAGGAAAATTTAGACATAAAGTCCTCGAAGCTATCAAAATAATGTGAAAATTCTGAGAGAACATCCCCTACTAATTATGCTATATGCAGGAAGTTCAACCTAGATACAACTAGAAGTGTCAAGACGGACGGGCCAGCCATGACCCGTGAAAATCGGGACCGTGGGCCGACTCGTGACCCGTGCGGGCAGTTAACGGGTCAAGGAGGTGTACCCCGCGGGTTTCGCAGGTTGCACCCCCGCGGGTCGCAGTTAACCCGCGGCTCGTAAAAAAAATTGAAAAAAAAATAAAACAAATTTTTTAAAAAAAGGCGGCGCTCTCCCCAACAGCAGGCTCCTGCCTACAGCAAGCCGCTGCTTGCATGGTCAAAAAAAATTTTTTAATTTTTTTTAAGTAACGGTAATATTACTTTTATAACGACAATATCATCACATTCATCTATAAATTCCAATTTATTCTTATAATACCCTCTCATTAGTTATTATACATTTATACTTCATAGTTCATACTATAAATATATACCTTCACGTAATTAGAAATGCATTTAGTTGTTAAATTTGAATTATTAAATTTGAATTCTATGTAAACATTTTTTGGTATAAATATGAATTTATCATTTTGTTCAATTCTTAGTTTACATTTAACAAAAAAAA